GCGCTTAGTTTAAAAGCAAACTCACTGCAAGGTAAGCTAAGCAGTAGTTTTGCTCTGTGGTCCACAGAACAAGAAAAATCAAAACACTTCACGCAAATGCACAACTCTTAAAACAAAACTTTCCTCTGATGTTAGCTCTTGGAACAGCTGCTGGAAGTCCCAGAAACAGCCACCCAACAGTGCTCTCCAATCGAATTTTAATTTTAAGTAATGAAGGTAACCTCCCTCTAGGCATGCCAGTAAATTAGTCAAGGAGTCCAAAGCATAATTTCAAAATATGGGGGGAAATCAGAAAACTGATACAATGAAAAACTACCGGCAGAATATATTTTTATTTTCTTTCTAAGTGTAAGATATGACATATGACTTTTTATTAAAGCATCTGTTAAATAGCACTATGTAATTTGAGGGTAATCACATATGAATAGCCAAAGTTCAACTACCAGGGACAACTGAGAGACCGTGGGAAAGCTCCTGGGTGTGTGTGGGGAGGGGCGCGAGTGGATTGGCGGGGGCTGGCTGGCCTAGGACGGAGAAGCTAAACACTGGTCGACCCTTCAGGAAGGATTTAGATTTAAGCTACAGCTTTAAGGCAGGATATGAAATAGTTGACTTTTCCAAGCTCATCAGCTTCCATCACTGCTCCCCATTAACGCGGGCTTCTGCTGATGGAGAGGAATGGAGGTCCTGACCTACCCTCGCCCAGGTTTCCAGTCTCCCAGCTATTGCACACAGGAGCAGCAGGTGGGGAAACGCCAGGATCTCCAAGCACCCTGCCAAGTCTGTGGCACCCAGTAGGACCTCAGCTGCTCAGGTCTTTTCTGCTCTAACGGATACCTAAGAGGTGTCACGTTTACCTCTAATTTTCCAACTCTTTGTGTGAAGCGCGCATTGCCAGTCCCTGCCCTAGGACCCTAGTCCTAGAGTTTTTAAAGTAGAGCCGGAAAGTCTGAGGATCCTTTCAGCAGCACAGAGCAGACACCGCGCTCCCCAGGAGGGGCTAGATGAGGAGGGACTGGCTGGGACTGAGCACGTCCTCCAACAAGCGCTGACCGGTGTGAACAAAACAGTCAGTAAGTCGGGGGCCACAGAGATCGGGAGATGCGAGCGGTCGCGGGGACCCAGGCCTTGGAGGGGGCGCCGTATCGGTTCCGGGGCCTCGAGGGAGGTTGGTTCCCGTTTCCACTAGGCCCCAGGGGGCACGTCTTCCTTCCAACGCTGTCGATTGCCCAGCAGGGGAACTTGCCCTTCTCAATCTTTCTCATTTGAATACATGAAAATGCGAGTTGATTTTGGCAAGGCCATGCTCTCTCACGGCCAGAGGGACGGTTTTGTCGCCCGCGGGCGAGGCCGGGTGGGGAGCAGCTCCGGCTCCGACATCCGGCTGCGGGTGAGCTAGGTCCGCGCCCCCGGCAGCTCAGAAACCCGGTGGCGCTCAGGCAGCAGTAGGGGAAAAGACAAACCCAGTAGCTGTTTTTGTTTGCTTCAATAAAATAAGGGAAAGCCCTGGTTATGTTTATGCGTTGCTTTTACACACAAAGACACACAGACACAAGAACATGCACACACAGCCAGGGTTGAGGCCGGTTACAGGATTGGACTCTGTACAGAACTGCCTGCAAAGGCCCGTCAAGTGGTCCCAGGGCCCCTACCTACTACAGAGTTGTGAATTAATCCCTTAAAGATTTAATGATGGAACGAAGGGAGAGAGGAAGGAAGGTATAAGGAAGAAAAATAAAAAGAAGGCAGCGAAGGAAAGGAGTTCGAACCTGGCCCCGCCCATGCTTCTCTCTCGCGGGGGACCGCCATCTCACGGCTCCCTGGCCCCCTCCCCAGCTCGGCGCACACATCCAACTGCGAAGGCCAGGCACACGCAGGTGTGACCCCTTGTGTCCAGCGTCCCAGGCCTTCCTCACTTCTAAGCTAAGCCGGGTCCCAGTTGGGGTCGGCTTTGAACCGCGTTCACGACCACAGGTCTTAGTTTCATTGGATCCGATTCTCCCCTGCAGAAGGAGGACTTAAGCTTCTTATCTGGGTGAGGGGGTGGGGGTCCGCGGGGGAACTCGGACCACTCCACACCAAGCTTGGCTGGGCTGCTGCAGCCGCCACCTGACAACAACCCCGTCCAGGGAAGGGTAGGCAAGGAAAGGGGACAGGCGAAGGACAGCCACAGAGGGAAGCCCTAGATAGATTCGAGTGGGCACCGCAGAGCCCCACCGGCCCAGGCCCTGCTCTCTGCCCACTCTGCGGTCCTGCTAAATGGGAAGGACCCCGTCGCCGCGAGAGGCCGCCGGCTGGGCCCGAGGCGCGAGCCCGCGGCCTTTCCTTCCACCTTTCGCCGTCGTCGCCCTCTGGTTCTCCCTGTCTGGAGAATATCTAAGGAAGGGGCTCCCAGCCAGAGCTTGCTGGGAAGTGTAAGCTGAGGCAGCCCAGCGTGGTCGAAGGACCCAGTGCGGCCCAGGTACTGCGGGACTGCCTCGGGAGCTGGCCCCATGGGTGTAGCAGGCGCAGCTTCCGGGAAGGGCGGGGCGGCTTCCTCCTCTGGCGGCCACCTGGAGTACCCGCGCACCCTACAGTCCTCACTGCCGCGGCTCCCTCCACTTGAGGAGCCCGCCCTCCCCGCGACCTGGACCGCCCCGGGCTGTCGCAGACCTGTCCTTACACAGGCAAGCTTAACCGGGAATACCCCAGGAGCCGCCACGTGCCTGCCCTCGTGGGTACCCAGCCCCAAGTCCACCCGTCCTCCCCAGAGCTGAAGACAGGCCTGGTTTCCTCCAACGAGCAGCGCAATCCTTGCAAAGCACAGTTTGCAGTAGCGTAGGTGCCTATTTGGGAAAAGAGGTTCGAAAAGAGCAGGCTGCAGTCGCTGGACCTGGCTACCGACTGGCCAGCAACTCCCAGACAGCAGCATGGAAGTTATGTATGTATGTATGTATGTATGTATGTATGTATGTATGTATGTATGTATTTCCAAGTCAAAGACCTAACACGACCCTGCTGATTCGCTTTTAAACCTCGGGGAAAGTGACTGGCTGGCATCTGGGTACACTAGAACCTCACCTCCTAAATGTGTTAGGTATCTTGCAATGCGGCCACTGAGATGGAGAGAGGCTGAGAGCTGGACGAACTGCCATCTCTCCTTCCATCTTGGCCTTAGCTCTAAGAACCTAACTCCCTGGCTGTGGGACGCATGCGGAGTCCAGTATCGCCTGGCGGTGCTCCCTGGAGGCGGGAAAATTCAGCTTTCCCTCTCCACGACAGGAGGCGCTGTGTTTGTTGAAATCCCCCTGGCCGCGAGCCGCGAACCTGGGATCCCTGAGCTGGATCAAGGCTCCGAAGCTGTCAGAGTCCATTCTGCATCACTCGGTCTTGGGCTTTGAAGAAGCCTAGAAGACATTCCGCTTTGGCCATCATGCTATGAAAAGTGGATTTTTTTTTCCTAAGACAACTTTTTGTTTTGTTTTGTTTTGTTTTTGAAAATATGAGACTTAGCAGGTTTGGGAAGTGGGCTAAAAGAATATTTAATATTGTAATTGATCCCCCATTTAAGGTGACAGTGTTTTCCCCCTGCTTAAAGCACCAGCTTTTTTGTGCACTATAAAAGCTATTACTATCTATAAATTGTTACTCTCGGTAGAAAATACCCTAGTCTTGCTCCGTGTTATTGGAGAGCCGAGAGGGTATTGGAGAATCACCTCCAGAAGGAACAAGGAAGCTCATTAGCACTGAAAGTCCCCCGGATCAGGCCGAGGAAGCTGAGCATCCGTGTACTTTACAAATGGAACTAAAGTCAGCTACTGATGGGAACTTTGCAAAAAAGAATTAGTTTCTGACACACAATTCGCAGATACATTTACACAAACTGATGGGACAACTTGCAGTCACAGGAGAAGGCTGCATTAGGGAGGGTTCCTGCCCTCCTGAGGTCCAGGTGGATTTAATTTCATTCATTCCTTTCCTTATGTGACGTTTCTATCCCCCACCCTTTTTGTAAAAAAAAAAAAAAAAGTAATCCAATGCTTTTATCTTTTTTATTTCCTTAACTGCACATCTTCACCCTCTCTGCTCCCCTGCTGACTTAAGAGATTTGTTTGGTTCAGGGATTTAAAGTGATTCGCTTGCCAGATTTCAAGTAGAAGAGATTGAAAAGAACAAAGCACAGGGAAAAAGGTATCTGTTTGGAAAACAAGTTAAAACATATTTCTTAAAATGAGATTAATAACATTTTAAAAACTTTGCAAAACAAGAAGATTTTGCGGATTCTTAATTACTTTAGATTTTATTTTATTGTTACTTAAGGAAACCTAGTGGTTCTACAGGCAGTACAACAAACCCATGGTCACAGGACACTCAGAAACAAACACACTCAGTCACACGTGCTCAGAAATACACAAACGGTCACACAGTCAGAAACACACTCACCATCTCCCAATCTATCACCAACTCATTGCCTATCACCCAGTCACTTCAGTATTCTCTCTCCTAGGACAAGTGGGCAATCCACCACCCAGGGCCTCAGGAGAGTAAAGAGACTTTGCGTTGGGGAGACTCTCCCACCGACGTCCAGGACCGATTAGGAACCAAGTGAGCCCCTGAGATCTCAGCCCGGACCCTCCGGGTCACAGGACCAAGCGCCGCTGCGGGCAGTCTCGGGCTTCTGCCTGGCACCTCTTTCGCAGTGCACACGCGTTCCCGCGCCCAGGCCCTTGCTCTCCCAGCTAACGCGCGTGTTATGGGAGATGTCCCCTCCCCCTGACCTTTTCCTATCAGAAACCAGACGGTCGTCTCCAGCTCAGTCCCTGAAGCTGCTGAAGGGGGGCGGGAGGAGGAGCCCGGCAGAGGGAGGACGGCCCGACTTGGGTCTGCCTGCCCTATCACACAGACATCTGCTCTCAGTTGCTTCCTCTTTATGGTCGCTACAGATGACAGGAGAGAGGAGCGGAACGAGGCGGAAAAAAAAAAGTTATGTCATAAAGATATAAACCGGTGCTGTGACTCACCTGCTCTTAGCCGCAGGTACGAGTTTCGTGGCAGCGCCTCCGCTCTGCTAGCCGGGAGCCCGGGTCGGCCTAACGTCACTTGGCTCGGCTGACTCAGATGACCCGGTTTCTAGTGACGAAGCAAAAGTGGGGCTTTTTCCCTTTTCTAGTCGGAAGCTCAGGAGGAAAGAAAGAAAGAAAAAAAAGTCTGTATTCTCCAGTCTCCTGGGGTTGAACTTTGGGTCAGGAATCAGGAGGGAGGGGGCAAGGAGAGCAGGAGGGGCGCGAGACTGGGCCGCAGCCCGCGCTCAGAAGGTGGCAAGTACCTCTGGGGAGGGACCCCGGGGTCACTTAGCCCACAAAGTCTCTAAGCCCAGTCTCCGACGCCACCGCCCCCAGCCTTCTCTGGCTATGAGGTTCCCATCTAGACCCCTAGCCCGCCCGCCTGGCCCCGCCTATTTTTTCTTTTTCCAAAGGGTGTTACACCCCCTCCCACCCCACTTCCCTCTTTCCCTAGCCTCCGGGCCTAAACCAATTACACTGCTTTGCAAACAAAGTGAGGGCCGCGCTTGGGGGAGGGGTTGCGGGGGAGGGGGGGCGCGCAGCGGTGGCGCGGCGGGGCGGGAGGCGCGGCGGCCGGACTGGCGGGCGGCCGCCTTGCAGGTGCACCTCGGGCTTTGTAGGTGCGAGCGTCTTTGTGCGGCGGACAAATGGGGAGAGGACGAGGAGGTGGGCACTCGAGCGACGTAAGATCCACATCAGCTCAACTGCACTCGCCTCGCAGAGGCCGCCCGCTCACTTCCCGCGGAGGCGCTCCCCGGCGCCGCGCTCCGCGGCAGCCGCCTGCCCCCGGCGCTGCCCCCGCCTGCAGCGCCGCCGCCGCCTCGCAAGCCGCGCCCCGCAGCTCTGGGCTTCCTCTTCGCCGGGGTGGCGTTGGGCCCGCGCGGGCGCTCGGGTGACTGCAGCTACTCGGTTCCCCTCCCCCGCCCCGCGCCGCGCGGCCGCCCGTCGCTTCGCACAGGGCTGGATGGTTGTATTGGGCAGGGTGGCTCCAGGATGTTAGGGACTGTGAAGATGGAAGGGCATGAGACCAGCGACTGGAACAGCTACTACGCGGACACGCAGGAGGTGAGAGGCGAGACGAGGCGGGCGGCCGGCGGGGCGCCGCTGGAGCCCGTGCCGGGGGAGGCCGGGGAACGGTGGGCGCCGGGCAGGGCGGACAGTCGGGCCGGGGGCGCCTCCTCGGTGCCACCGCTGCCCGCCCGCCGGTGTGGTCCCGGCCGGGCCTTGGCCGGGCCTGGAAGCGGGACCTGCTGCCCTGCTCTGTCCCGACTCTAGCAGCCGGAGAGGGAGTTTTAGGAAACTCCGGGCTTTGAAAACAGCGGCCCTGGGAAGCACTTGCCTCTTCCCAGCAGCGAGCGGGAGCAGGAGCCGGGCCCGGGGTGCCGCGGGCGGGCGAACGCTGGCGCGAGTTGGAAGCAACTCTGAGAAAGCCGGAGCATACCCGCAAGGCGACCTCTTCGTCCCGCCGTTTAATCCGCAGACGTCTTCTGATTAAAGCGCTCTGCCGCCAAGTTGGGTGTCTCAATAATGAAACGATTTCTAAATTTTATAAAACTTGTTCTTCAAAAGCCCTATGTGGGGAGAAGTGTGCGCCTTCTCTAAAACCGCTGGGTGGCGCTAGTGCGACCAGAATCTTCTTCAGAACTCCGGGCCGAGAACCTGTTTCTCTTCATTGTCCCCTTGGTGGCACGTTCATGGGGGTTATTTTTACAATGTGCACAAAAGGATTACAGGGAAAACCAGGTACAGGGAGGACTAGCACCTATTAAAAGTATTTTTCTGGAAACAGCTGGCTATTACCCCCCAAAAGTTTAATTACCATTATTGAAAACGCGTATTGGAACTGCCTTGGATAATCTTGGGAAGAGGGAAAGAAAATAAAGCCCCAAAGTAAAAAAAGAATTTTAAGACGTGGACAGAAAAATATAGAATCACGTAATATTTTGATGGTAACTAACTTATTTAGATTTGTATATTCACAAGTTTACCTCTGAGTTTATTTGCATACCATAGTTTACTGGGTGTTCCTATTTAAATCTATTTGTTCTCATGTTTTCAAACTGAGTCATACTTGCTGATGAAAATAAACTTAAGGACATCATTATTCCTTATTAAATTGTCAGTGGAGTGCTTTTTAATATGCCTAGGTTCTGTATGTTTAAAATACTGTACCGAATGCATTCCCACATTGCTATTGATAAGGATTTTCGCTTGCTGATGATTTTTAAAGCAGCTCAGAGGTCTTCCAGAGATTTAATTCTGACGCAGTCATCTCGACCCTACCATTCAACTGAGACCCCTAGCGAAAGTACTTTCTAACATATTAAAGCTGAGAATTAGGAAATACAATAGCATAAGAGAAAATAGGTAGAATTTTATTTTTGAATTTTAAATTATTCAAGACTACTCACGGAATTTCAAAGCCGGGCATTGAAATCATCAGCAGCAACATCAGTATGTGGGAAAAAAAAGATTTATTTTGACAAACTGTGTCACCAGTATTTTTAAATAGGGGACGGTGAAGTGGTGACAAAATTAATGCGAGTTTCTAAATATTTTGCAGAGGTGTACATGCAAAGTCACGTTAAAATAAAATGCATATAGCACATTGAGATTATTATGGCACCCCCTCCCAGCCCGTTCTGTTATGGATGTACTTTTAGTTTGATTTTTCCAAAACTTATTTAACTTCTGAGTTTGCTTCCCTTTTTAACATTACAGTTGCTACAAGCAGGTAGAAAACAGTACTTCTAAATACAATAAAAAACAAAAAGTCACCATAAGCAAAAACTCCTAGGACAATAAAGCCACTTGTTGGGAAATAAATGATTCAGGGGGTCCCATGTCCATAGGTGATTTGCTCTATCAGGGAGTTTCATTAACAGTCAGCCATAACAACCGAAACCGCTGTGCGGTCAGCCAGGCCTGCAGACTCAGGCGAGGAGGGCACAGAGCTGGTGCCCTGTGGCCCGCTCCGTGGGCCTGTGACGCGGAACCCATTGCACCCTTAGGGTGAAGTGAATAAGCAGAGGGTCAGAGATTAATTCTATTTTCGGAGTTTTAAAGACATTTCCCCCCAAAGAGCGCTTTGCCGAGGCTGGCTGGGGTGGAGACTTGGAGACCGCCTAGCGTGGATGGAGGAGGCGATGAGGGGGCCCTGGAAGCCAGCCCCTGAGCCTGGCGTGTAAGGCGATTACACATCTTCCTGGGGACATATTTTCTGTGAGCGCTTATCTTTCATGCCTGTCGCGCTAGGATTTTCCCCCTACCGTGCAAGACATCTTTGCTCGGTCTGGGGAGGGCGCTTAGCCGTTTGCCCTGGGTGGGGGTGTCCCGTGTTCTGCAGAAGTGCTCTGCACTTGCCCCCGGATTAACTCCCGGCCGGCCGCCCTCCGGTGCCCACCACTAACCCCGCCCTCCGGGGCTTCTTCGCTGTCTCCGCTCCAGGCCTATTCCTCCGTCCCGGTCAGCAACATGAACTCAGGCCTGGGCTCCATGAACTCCATGAACACCTACATGACCATGAACACCATGACCACGAGCGGCAACATGACCCCGGCGTCCTTCAACATGTCCTATGCCAACCCGGGCCTAGGGGCCGGCCTGAGTCCCGGCGCCGTAGCCGGCATGCCCGGGGGCTCGGCGGGCGCCATGAACAGCATGACTGCGGCCGGCGTGACGGCCATGGGTACGGCGCTGAGCCCGGGCGGTATGGGCGCCATGGGCGCGCAGCAGGCGGCCTCCATGAATGGCCTGGGCCCCTACGCGGCCGCCATGAACCAGTGCATGAGCCCCATGGCGTACGCGCCGTCCAACCTGGGCCGCAGCCGCGCGGGCGGTGGCGGCGACGCCAAGACGTTCAAGCGCAGTTACCCGCACGCCAAGCCGCCCTACTCGTACATCTCGCTCATCACCATGGCCATCCAGCAGGCGCCCAGCAAGATGCTCACGCTGAGCGAGATTTACCAGTGGATCATGGACCTCTTCCCCTATTACCGGCAGAACCAGCAGCGTTGGCAGAACTCCATCCGCCACTCGCTGTCCTTCAATGACTGCTTCGTCAAGGTGGCGCGCTCCCCGGACAAGCCGGGCAAGGGCTCCTACTGGACGCTGCACCCGGACTCCGGCAACATGTTCGAGAACGGCTGCTACTTGCGCCGCCAGAAGCGCTTCAAGTGCGAGAAGCAGCCGGGGGCCGGCGGCGGGGGCGGGAGCGGGGGCGGCGGCGCCAAGGGCGGTCCTGAGAGCCGCAAGGACCCCTCTGGCGCCTCTAACCCCAGCGCCGACTCGCCCCTCCATCGGGGCGTGCATGGGAAGGCCGGCCAGCTAGAGGGCGCGCCGGCCCCCGGGCCCGCCGCCAGCCCCCAGACTCTGGACCACAGTGGGGCGACGGCGACAGGGGGCGCCTCGGAGTTGAAGACACCAGCCTCCTCATCTGCGCCCCCCATAAGCTCCGGGCCCGGGGCGCTGGCCTCTGTGCCCCCCTCTCACCCGGCACACGGCCTGGCACCCCACGAGTCCCAGCTGCATCTGAAAGGGGACCCCCACTACTCCTTCAACCACCCGTTCTCCATCAACAACCTCATGTCCTCCTCGGAGCAGCAGCATAAGCTGGACTTCAAGGCATACGAGCAGGCACTGCAGTACTCGCCTTACGGCTCTACGTTGCCCACCAGCCTGCCTCTAGGTAGCGCCTCGGTGACCACCAGGAGCCCCATCGAGCCCTCAGCCCTGGAGCCGGCGTACTACCAAGGTGTGTATTCCAGACCCGTCCTAAACACTTCCTAGCTTCCGGGACTGGGGGGTTTGTCAGGCACAGCCATGCTGGTAGCAAGAGAGAAAATCAACAGCAAACAAAACCACACAAACCAAACCGACAACAGCATAATAAAATCCCAACAACTATTTTTATTTCCTTTTCATACACAACCTTTCCCCCAGTGCAAAAGACTGTTACTTTATTATTGTATTCAAAATTCATTGTGTATATTACTACAAAGACAACCCCAAACCAATTTTTTTCGTGCGAAGTTCAATGATCCACAAGTGTATATATGAAATTCTCCTCCTCCTTTGCCCCCCTCTCTTTCTTCCCTCTTTCCCCTCCAGACATTCTAGTTTGTGGAGGGTTATTTAAAAAAAAACAAAAAAGGAAGATGCTCAAGTTTGTAAAATATTTGTTTGTGCTTTTCCCCCCTCCTTACCTGACCCCCTACGAGTTTACAGGTCTGTGGCAATACTCTTAACCATAAGAATTGAAATGGTGAAGAAACAAGTATACACTAGAGGTTCTTAAAGTATTGAAAGACAATACTGCTGTTAGATAGCAAGACATAAACAGATTATAAACATCAGAGCCATTTGCTT